TGCTCTAATGGCGCCCTGCAGTTCTCTTCAGGATGGATCAATTACAGCCGAGGTAATTGGCCAAAGTCGGTGAGAACTTTTGGGGGCAGGCTGTTGCATCAAATGCACAATAGATGGCGCGCGTGCTGAGCTGTGTCTGTGTGTGTGTGTGTAGCATGTCTAGTGTAATTGCGAGGTGTCTGCTAGTCGTTCAAGCCGACTGCAGCTGTTGCGGAAGCAAATCAGCCAACAGCAGCCACAGCAGCAGCAGCAGCGATGCCTGTATGCAAGAGCCCACGCCAAAGCCCATAAATCAACAGCAGCAACAACAACAACAACAGCAACAACAATAACAAATATTAATATTATTAATAAATGGCAAAATTGTCTAAGAGTCAGACTTGTTTTTGCATGGGATTTACTATAGATACCTCTATGTGTATGTATGTGTGTGTGTGAGTTGTCTCTCTACCTCCCTCCCTGCCTCACGCTCTCCTGCTCTCTGTCTACCTTTCTCTCTCCCCCACTCCCTCTCTCGCTCTGCACCTAGCTTATTCAAGGACTACCAGTTGCTGTTGTTGCTGTTGCTGTTGTTGCTGCTGTTGATGTTGCTGCTGTTGCCGTTGCTCGATACTCAACTTTAGCTTGGATCATTTGGACAGAATTGTTTCAGAAGTGTTTGGTGCAATAATTACAACACCTCGCACAACAATAACAACAATCAGCAAACAATTCGCTCGCTTAGCCGTGACCAGCAAAAACTAAGTTTGGCCCAAACTAATTGCGAATGGAGAAAAATCAGTTGAAAAGATTTCAAGCTGTTTCTCAAGTTGTAGCGGGCGTTGAGTGGGCGTGGCAGCAGCAGCTTGAGCTGTATGCAAAGAGAGAGAGAGAGAGATGGAGAGACAGATCAGCACAGATATGGCTAATTCATATGCAAAAGTTTTGCCAAGCTGTCAAATACATATAGAAGATATAGAAGATACATATATATGTGTATGGCTATATATATGGCTATACATATATCATATGTGTTATTCCCTTATTTATGTATGCTAAACACTTGTTGGCGCAGCCGTAAACTCAGTTTCTTGTGCAATTGCATACAAAATGAGCTCTACAGTGCTGGCCAGAAAAGTGAGCAGAGTGGGGGGGGGGTAAGTGCTGTACGAGCCAAGTTGATACAGTTGACAACTGATGAGTGCGTGTGCTATACAAGAAGAAGAAGAACGATACACACACTCGTTTAGCTTCCTAAAATATTAACTGCAACAACAAGAACAACAACGACAACAACAACAACAACAACAACAAATGTTTGTTTTAATGCACACTTCCGGCTAACAAAGGGCTTTTCCGTCAATTAAACAGTTTTTCAACAGAAAAAACAATTAGGCGCACGCTCAGTGCGCTCAGGTGAGCGACTATCAGCTACCCTGTAAATGCAATGGCCCTCTGCGCTTCAGCAGAAACCCTGAGCTGATCCAGGAGCGAGTTTACATATCCATATAAGATATATATTTGTGATGTTAATATATATGCCTTATGGCTACAGTCTGCCACATTCCACACTCCTCTTCAGCCAATATACCCTTTCCCTACCTATGTTTTCAACAACGACTGGCTGAGTGTAAGCAGAGGTGCTTAACGATTAGCTGGAAGGGAACACACACACTCTTATATGCTTATATATATTATATATGCAGTACAGTATGAACTTCAACTTGTATATGCATATAGATCTGATATTGATGCATGCTAAACAGGCGTGGAGCAAGTGGCGCGCCAGCTGCATACGGGAAATTACCTTTACAGTGCTGGCCAATCGAATGGGCACAGCTGCAGGTCGGGCTAGGCGAGGCAGCAGCCACGCCGCCAAGTCGACTCGAGTTGATACAGTTGGCGACAGTTGACAAGACATATTATTATCATCAGCAGCCAGAGCGAGGGAGAGGGAGATGAAGAGAGAGAGAGAGAGAGAGAGAGATGGATGTGTTTTACCTTTTGTTGGATTTTTGGCTGCGTGCTGACTGACAGCCTGTACAATAACAAAAGCGAATTATACGATGATGATATTTAAATTGTAGAAGAAGAAGCAGAAGCAGAAGCAGAAGCAGAGCAACAACAGTGCTAAAAGCAAAAGTGAAAAAACGTTTTCAATTTTATAAGCCATATGCCGTATGTGTCATACATTGCCTGCCTAAATGCCTTCTCTCCCTCCGCTCCCCACCCCGCTCACTCGCCAAGCTCTGCCTTTGAAGTGCGCCTCAACTTTCGAGGCGTTGTCAGCAATTGGCAGTTGCCCATCAGCCGAAAGTGAGATCCGAGAGTCGAGGCAGGCCTCATATGTAACATTAGAACCAACTCTCATGTATATCATATGTATATAGATCATATATATGTATATATACATATATGTCATATTTATGCACTGTGATGTCTGCTGACTTTGTAGTTTTATTTCCATATTCGCGCGCTCACTTATGAAGCCCAAAGGCCCAAAGATGAAGCGAGCATATCAGTTTACAGCAGTTTGAATAGAGCTCGCTCTACAGTTGACGATAAGCAGATTCTAGGGAACAGGACTCAGCTTCGATGAAAGGAAGTCTCATCAGGTGAAAGAGGCATAGAACATAGCAGTTTGATAGGCACTGAAGGGCAGTCTATATATATACATATATATATATATATATATATATATATATATATACAATATTGTGTATAGTGTCTCAATTATATATATATACATTTCTCTTTCTCCGTCTCTCTCTCTGTTTCTCTCAGTTTATAGCAATCTCTCTCTCTGTCACAGTCTGACAGAGACCTCGATTCCCTTTAGTAACAGTTCCAGAGTATTGGGCAGTCGGCTAGGCTCGTTTTGATTTCTGTTTCATTTGCAATTTGCAGTTGTCAACAAATGAAATTTGATTTGTGAGACACACACACACACACACACACACACACACACACACGCGGGTCATTCGTTCACTGTTAAACGCTTCGTGGACACTTTTAGATAAAAGTTTAGTTGCCTTTTGGGTAGCTTGGGTAACTTGGGTAACTTGGGTAACTACATATCTACACACGTATATTTGGCTGAACTGGACCGGTTTATTTCTGGTTGTAGTTGGGGCAAAACTTTCGGCAAGAAACAAAATGAGGTCGTTGTCAAAAGCAAAAGCGAAAGTTCAACTCGCGTTGGTTCTGGTTTTCGGTCTTTTTTTATGGACGGCCCCTTTTCTCCTTGCGCCCTCCTGCTTCCAGCCTCTCCTCTCTGCTCAGCTCGGCCTGATCACCTCTCACCTGTCGTCCGTTTTGCCTCTTTGGGCTTTGGGGCGTGCCAAAGGCTAGCCGCGTGCTGCTCAGCCTGTGCAGCTGTTGCCGCTCATTGAGCCAGCATCGCCAGGGAGACAGCGTCAGCAGCTTCGTCTTCGCTTTGCCATCTCGTCCCTGACTCTCACTCAGCTCTGCCTGGTGCTCAGGTTGTGCATAGGCTCTTTCACGGCTTTACCCTCTGCCTTATCTCAGACTTTTCCTCAGCTCTAGCTTAGCTCTAGCTCTGTCCAGAGTTTTTTGTTTCGGTTTTTGGCAATGACTCTAATGGGTTTCCCCTCGGGTCAGCCCTTAGCTCTGCCTAGACTCCTTCCCTTGGCTCCTTTGTCTCTCCCTTTCTTCTTAGCTGGTTTCCCTTTGCCTAGACTTTACCTTTGCATTTCTCTCTCCCTCTGCCCTCTCCTTGCCGCATCGTTTGCGTGACCAAGTGAAGTCCAGGTTCAAATTGGTATCAATTGGCAGCTCGAGTGGACTTTTGCGGTTCCTCGTGCTTTGCCTTCATACGCAACTTCCTCTCACGAGCCAAATTGCTTTCGCTTTTCATTTTTGTGGGCTGACGCTTCACTTCTTGTTCATTCGCCTTTGATGTCCGCTTGAGCTTGAGCGAGGGCCAATAATCGGGTATGATGTGCTAGAGGCCTGACATATGTCCATATGTCTCTTTAAGGAAAAAAGATTGTTATCGATTTGCAAGTCTTTTTGCTTTTAGCTTGACAACCTGGAGAAGCCTTTTGGAGTATTACCATTTCCAGGGAGTATTTCCAGCAGGGTATCTTGCAGTCGTGCTTGCAGTCACTCTTCCGATTCATGTATTTTTTGCACTTGTTCTTTTGCCCCTTTTTCCGTTCGCATTTACATGCACTTCCGTTTGACTACGTAAACAACTTCAGTCCCCACCACTGTCTGTGCCCCTCTCTGCCTTCTCCCTTCTCCCCACTCTACCCCTTCTGCGCTGTGTTTCGTGCAGTCAGCGCATTGCTATTGACATCATCATCATTACCGTGACAATCAGCAGTTTTGGCAAACAGTGAAGCGACAGCAATTCGAACGCCTACCCAAAATTCTTTTAGTTCAACTCGATTTCCTTCAAGCAGATCGCTTCACTAAGCTCGGATCGCATCATGATCAAGTTCCGCTACAAGCGCAAGGAGCCCAGCAATGTGGTTGCCTGCAGCGCAAGTGCAACGGCAACAACTGTAACGGCAGCATCAGCAGCAACATCTACGACAGCAGCAACGTCGCCAGCAACTGCAGCAGCAGCAGTTGCTCCCGCAGTGGTGCAGCTGCAGCTGATTAGCAACAATGGCACCTTGCCCAGGAGCAGTCCGCGTAAGCTGCTCCTCGACTCTGGCTCAGCGACGTTGACGCGTCAGAGCAAGCAGCAGCAGCAGCAACAGCAACAGCAACAGCAGCAACAGCAGCAGCAAAATCTGTGCGCTTTGGCTAAGGTCTCCAGCAGCATTGAGTTGGCGTTTCATGGCTACAACAACAACAACAACAATAACATCAGCAACAACAACAACAACAACAGTATCGAAAGAGATCGCTGCATTAATGCAGTCATTGTAAGTCGTGCATACCCGTTAGCAATTAGCCATTTGCAATGCCCAGCCAGAGCTAGATCCATGGATCTATAGACTGTCCGCATAGATTATTGTCTAACCCCCTCTCTCTCTCTCTTTCTCCAGGAACTCTTTCAGCAGCTACAAACGAGCTCCGAGCCCGCCCTGTGCCCGGAACCCCTGCGTCGCGCCTTGGCCAGCGGCCCGCTGGCCGGTCGCAGGTTTCCGCTGGGCTGCCTCGGTGATGCTGCCGAGTGCTTTGAGCTCCTGCTGCATCGCGTCCACTCGCACATCTCGCCCGACGACGGCGACGCCTGCGAGTCAGCCGCATGCATAGCCCATCGCCGCTTCGCCATGCGCGTCATCGAGCAGAGCGTTTGCAAATGCGGCGCCAACTCCGAGCAGCTGCCCTTCACGCAGGTGAGTCCATTTGATCGCTTTTATAAGAGTTCAGAGATTACTCGAGCTCAAGATTTCCTGGAAAAGAAAAGCATTTAATAGACCGACCGAACTTGGAGTAGCTAACTCAGTTGATTGAGACGATAGGGGAAGAATAGCTTGAAGGAGTAAGGCAAGGCCTTAGTCCTAGACTAAGTAACTCAGTAGACGACAAAGTAACTGTATGGACTCTTCTAGAAGAACGATTCGGATATTGCATATTTAAGTCACAGATCTCATTCATATGTGGTTCTTCCGAGGGATACCCGGCTGTGTCTTTCTCCCTCGGGGGATTATAATGGTTAGCTATTTCCACATATTACACATGGATCATTTCAAGCCAAGATATGCATTCTTGAATCGGCAAGGCTATGAAATCTCGGCGCAGTCTGGGTGCGAGAAATGTCTTAGAGAATTCAATGAAACTTGACTTAATTGTATGCAAGTTCTTTTACGCTCGTGGCGTGGGCTTTGGAACACCTGCGACTGCTGCTATGTAAATGGAGCTGGAGGGGCTGTGGGGGTGCCAGAGTAGAGACTAGGGGAAACAGTTAGCTGGTCCGGTGGCCAAACGGGTTATGCGGCACAACATGAACCTGAACGTGAGCCACTCGCTCGACCAGTTTGCGGAACACCCACTAGGAGAGGCAACGCACACAGCTCATAGATTGCAAGTATAGTTAGCTCTGCTACCCAGCCCCTTACCCGCTCCATCACGTCAACTCATAGATCATTGTCTGCCATTGACAGCCAGTGTCTCTTACCCCGTGTGTCTCTGACTGCTTAGCCCCTCCTAGCATGCTCATATGTCATATATGTTTCAAGTGTTGTCTTTAAGCTGACATCCCTTTATCTCTCCAGCTCACTCTCTCTTTCTCTTTACTAGCGCTAGATCACTGTCTTACCCCCTCTCTAGCTCGTAGTCCATCGAACCCTCCCATGTATTATACTTTATTCTCACTTTCTACCCCTTCTACCCCTCTTGCAGATGGTGCACTACGTGTCCGCCTCGGCGCTGACCTCGCAGAAGAGCCTCGCCATGCAGAACCACCAGCAGCTCAGCTTTGGCCAGCTGCTGCGTGCTGCTGGCAACATGGGCGACATACGCGACTGTCCGGTAAGTACAGCTGCCAATCCCCCACAGCAACTGTGACTAATCTCTCCCTCCCTCTCTCTCTCTCTTGCTCTCACTCATCCTTAGAACTCGTGTGGCGCCAAGATTGGCATTTGCCGTGCTCTGCTCAATCGACCGGATGTGGTGTCGATCGGCATTGTTTGGGACTCGGAGCGACCGGCTGCCGATCAGGTGCACGCCGTCTTGAAGGCTGTGGGCACCAGCCTGCGCCTGGCCGACGTCTTCCATCAGGTCAGCGAGCAGCGCTGGGCCCAGCAGTCGCAGCACGAGCTCGTTGGCATCGTCTCCTACTACGGCAAGCACTACACCACCTTCTTCTTCCACACGAAGCTCAAGGTGTGGGTCTACTTCGACGACGCCAATGTCAAGGAGGTGGGGCCCAGCTGGGAGGGCGTGGTGGACAAGTGCAGTCGCGGCCGCTATCAGCCGCTGCTGCTGCTCTACGCCGTGCCGCAGCCGCCCAGCTCCGCTGCCGGAGCAGCTGTCAACAGCTGCGGCATGGAGCGGCGCGCCGTCACGCCCAGCCCGGAGAAGCCCAGCCTGGGCAGCACCAGGCGTGCCATAACGCCCACGCCGCTGAACGACTACCAGAACCTGAGCGTCATACAGAAGAGCATCTTCCCAGCGCCGTTGCCCGCGTCTGCTGCTCTCCCAGCGCTGGCAGCGGGCAGCGATGAGACGGACGCCTACATCAGTCGCAAGACCGTGGAGCATGTGTTGAGCGCCCAGTACCAGAATCTGAGCGTCATCCAGGACAAGATCGCCGCCGATAAGGAGGGCGGCTTCCTCAACCGCAAGCCCATCGAGGCGATGCTCAGCGCTCAGCTGGCCCGCCGTCAGCACCTGCAGCTGCAGCGCAGCCACAGCGCGGAGTCCAGCTCCGGCCACGCCTCCAACGGCAGCTCTCCGCCCAGCGACGGCCTGACCATCCCGGAGCACCTGAACCAGCCAAGGCGCCGCGACTCGGGCAACTGGTCGGGAGACCGCAACAGCGCCAGCTCAGCCAGCTCCACGACCCTCGACAATCCATATCTCTACATGGTGGCCAAGCGCGGCGTGGCTGCCGTGCCCCAGAGCCCGACGAGGCATGGCCACGTGCATGGGCTGCCCTACGATGCGGGCTACGACTCGTTCTCGCTGAGCTCCACGGACTCGTATCCGCCCAAGCATGTGCTCAACCCGCAGCTGGCCAAGATCCCGGAGACGAACGCACCGAACGCGGCTGGCCATGTGCCGCACGGCCCGGCGCACGGCCCGGGCCTGGCCCTGTCGGGCGACTGCGAGAAGCTCTGCCACGAGGCGGACCAGCTGCTGGAGAAGTCGCGCCTGGTGGAGGAGTCGCACGATCTGGAAACGGCGCTGGTCCTCTGCAACGCAGCCGCGGGCAGAGCCAGAGCTGCCATGGATGCGCCGTACAGCAATCCGCACACGATGACCTTCGCCCGGATGAAGCACAACACCTGCGTGATGCGCGCCAGGAGCCTGCACCGTCGCATCCTCATCGAGAAGGGCGCCGAGAGCGAGGCCATGCCCGAGCTGAAGCACATGCGCGAGGGCAGCAACAGCAGCGTCAAGCACATGCGCCAGAACAGCAAGGACCGCACGCTCGAGAAGCTCGAGAAGCTGGAGAAGCTCGAGCAACTGCCGCCAACTGCCTCGGCGGCCAAGAGCATCGAGATCTATGCGACGCTGCCGAAGCGCAAGAGTCCGCTCAAGGCGCTCGTCAACGCCGGCGGAGACGACAATGCCATCGAGTACGAGCCGCCGGCTAGCCAGGCGAAGCCGGAGCGCGAGAGTCGCTCGCTGTTCGGGCGCCGCGATAAGGACAAGGACAAGGAGAAGGAGAAGGAGAGGGAGAAGGAGAAGCGCAGCCGCAGCGAGGATCGCAACAAGCTGACGCGCGAATTCTCGCTGACCGAGACGCTGCTGGTGAACGCCAAGGACACGCTGAAGAAGCACAAGGAGGACAAGGACGAGAAGAAGGAAAAGGACAAGAGCGGCAAGAAGCAGCATAAGATCCGACGCAAGCTCCTGATGGGCGGACTCATCCGGCGCAAGAATCGCTCCATGCCCGACCTGACCGAGGCTGTCGACGATCCCAGCTCCTCAGCTGCGGCGGCAGCTCCTGCCGCTGCGTCCGCGCTCAGTGCGCACGCCACGCCCCTCGGCTCGGTGGACGACAGCGCCGTTGGGCTGCATCTGCACGGCCACGCCTACATGGGCATGAGCGGCTACATCTCCGAGGGCCACTTTGACTACCCCAGCAGCAGCAACAGCACCAACAGTGCCGCCTCTGCCGCAGCAGCAGCTGCTGCTGCCTCCGGCTGCTGCGCCAATCCGAACCTGGAGCGCAGCAAACTGATGCGCAAGAGCTTCCATGGCAGCGGCAGGCAGCTGACCATGGTGCCCAAGGTGGCGCCACCGCCGCCCATGCGCACCAGCTCGGCACTAACACAACAGCAGCAGCAACAGCAACAGCAGCAGCAACAACAGCAGCAACAGCAACAGCAGCAGCAACAACAGCAGCAACATTTTCATCACGAGGCAAATCTGTCGAACATCTCAGCGATGAGCTCGAATGCCTCGATAAGCGAGGACTCGTGCCAGACTATCATCACCACCTGTGCGCAGGTGCACTCCGAGCAGAGTCCTTTGAAGGACCTGCAGTTGCCTTGCGCCCCAGACATGGGCATGGCCCTGCCCCTGCCAATGCCCCTGCCCCTGCCGCAGCTGGAGCTGCCGCCGTATCCCAGTCCACCGCAGTCCGTTTGCCATTCGAGGCAGGCGAGCGAGGACTTTCCGCCGCCGCCGCCAGAGATCGACCTGGAGCCGCTCAACCAGCAGCTGAATCACCTGCACGCCCTGGAGGCGGCCAGCAAGCAGCAGCGACAGCAGCTCGACTCCATGGAGGGCACGACCAGCATCCTGGCCCAGCTGCAGCAGCGACAGCACCTGCTGAAGCTGCGCAAGGAGCAGGCGACGCCGTTGCCCGATCTGCGGAGCCGAAAGCCTGAGCCAACATCAGCAGGAGCAGCAGCAGCAGCTGCTGCAGCAGGAGGCTCGCCCAGCAGCGTTCGCGACCTGGCGCATCGTTTCGAGCAAACCAGCATTGGGGGAGCGGCAGCGGGAGCAACAGCAGCGGCAGCAGCAGCAATGGCTAACAGCAACATGCGCTCGTACGCCTCCCAGGAGCTGCTTAGCTCTGTGCGCACGCAGATGAACGGGCTGCCCAATGGCAAGCCGGAGACCGATGAAGTTGACTGTGCGCCCATGCCACGCCAACAGCAGCAACAGCAGCAGCAGCAGCAACAGTTGCTGCTGGCCAAGCCCAAGTACGAGATGTCGCAGTCGCAGATCGCCGAGGAGATTCGCGAAGTGGAGCTGCTCAACTCGATGGTGCAGCAGACGCTCAACCAGAGCAACCTGGCGGCGCCGAAGCGCGTGAAGAAGAAGAGCGTCTCGTTCTGCGACCAGGTCATACTCGTCGCCACAGCCGGCAATGAGGAGGACGACGACTTCATACCGAACCCCATTCTGGAGCGAGTCCTGCGCACGGCCCAGCACCCCAACGAGAAGGTGAGCGCGCAGCTCATTCAGCAGCAGCAGCAGAACATGCTGCGCCTGCAGACAGAGGCGCAGCCACGCCTACAGCAGCAGCAGCAACAGCAACAGCAGCAGCAGCAGCAGCAACAACAGCAGCAGCAACAGCAACAATTGCAGCAGCAGCAGCAGCAACAGTTGCAGGCATCGCCCATGCTGGGCAGGCCAGACATGCAACGCTATGTGCAGCGCCAACAGCAGCTGCTGCAGCAGCAGCAGCAACAACAGGAACTGTATCGCCTGCAGCAACAGCAACAGCAGCAACAACAGCAACAGCAACAGTTGCTGCCACGCACCAGCATGAGCGGTTTGTCCAATCAGCAACAACAGCAGCAGCAGCAGCAGCTGGACATGCAATACAGCAGCATGCCGCGACCTTTGCATGCGCAAAGCTACTCTATGCAAATGCAGAAGCAACAACAGCAACAGCTGCAACAGCAACAACAGCAGCAGCAACTGCAACAGCAACAACAACTGAGCATTGCCTACTTCAGCAATGGAAATGTTGCCGCTGAGCAGTCGCTGCCCTCGCCCTATCAGCGCGTGCCACACCCGCATGCCTATCAGCAGGCCAACTTCTATGCAGCACAGCAACAACAACAGCAGCAACAACAACAGCAGCAACAGTTGCTGAATGGTAAGAAAAAGGTGAGCTTTGAGCCAGGCACAAAAGGTGAATTGGACTGCCTGCCCAGTACGCCGCAGGCCCCTCCGCCGCCGGCAACGTCGCTGCAGAACGGACTGCCCGAGCCGCTCTCGAACGGCACGAATCTCAATGGCATCACGGCCATACCCACCCGCGTCTACAACAATGCCATCGTCAAGGCCTCGGCCAAGGCCGTCGAGTGCAATCTGTGCCGCAAGCGCCACGTGATTGCGCCCTCGATCTACTGCACCAACTGCGAGTACTATCTGCAGATGCTAAACCAGCGCAGATGATGTCTGAATGAATCGAATTTCGATTCGAAGTCGAACTCGAAGTCGAACTTGAAGTCGAACTTGAACTCGAGTGCTACTGCAATCAAATGAATCGATTTGAATTCGAGTTCGAATCGTAGCTGTAAATGGAAACAAGTTATCTCAAGCATTGCTGCCACGCCCCTCCAAATAGCGCCCACAATAGGCTGTTACTGTTAAGGTTTGAGTCCGTAGAGTCGTATATATACAAATATATATATAAATATATATATATATATATATATACATATACATATATATGTATATAGCTTATAGCCAATCGTAGCTCGTAAGCAGTTGCAACAGCAGATCGAAGCAGGCAGCAGCAGCAGCAGCAACAGTTGCAGCTAGAACTCGAACTGTTGCTGCTGCTGCTGCTGCTGTTGCGGCCATCTAGAGTCAGGGATGCGATTGGGTTTGCTGCCGCGTGGAGCAGTGGCAACAGCAACAGCAGCAGCAACAGTCGCTTTTATGCCGTCGCATAAGATGTCGCAACTGTTTGCCAGCCACGCCTACAATGAAACACCTGCACGCACATGTTCCCCCAGCACACACACATATATGTCCACTTGCCCATATATCTAACACGCGTCGCTCACAACGAACATCGACATCAGCAACATCGACATCAGCAACATCCCCAACACCAGCAACATTTAACTAATTCCATCCAGCCTGGCTTCCGCAAATCTCTTAATATTTTTTTAATTAATTAATATTTCTAGTTTTAATTGCATTTTTTTTTTTTTATCATCATTAAATTGTTTAAGTTTCAAGAGTTTTTAATATTTGATTTTTTTTTTTCGTGAGAAACTCAGCCGCTGAGCTTCCATTGCCGTGCAGTTGTCGAACGACTGCTCGGCAGAGTTTAATATTTCTATCTGATATACTAAGCATTTATTTTTCATACGACATATAGAATATAGAACTTTTTTTTGTAATGCATTTTATACGATTTAATAGTATTTTATAGTACTTAAAGTGTTTATACATTTATTATAACGATTTTTTAAGATTTTTCTTTACAGAAAACACAGAAATGCACAAATGATGCGAGAAAAGAACAAAAAGAGCAAATAAATGGTAAAAAAAGAGAAATTATTTTAATAAAACATCAAAAACAATATAAATCATTGTGTTATTTTTCTGGGAAATTAAAAGGAAGAAAAAATATTTATAGCCGCTCCAAAAAGAACAGATCAGAACAGAATTCAAGACGGTGTTATCCTGTACAGCAGACATGCCACGTAGCAGCACCACTTTAGGCTTAAGTTCGAGCCGTTTCTTGGCTTGCAGCGTGAAGATATCTCTGTACAACAATGCTAGACCCCAATGTCTTCTATGCCGTCCAAGAGAAAAAGTAACGCGAGAGGAGGCTGGGAGTCCAGGTACTGCAGCCAAAAGATCTGCTCGATCGCACATTAGATCTAGAAGAAGATTCCGAAGACACCAACCCTATGCTGGACAGGGTCTGAGCCTAAAAGCTTGCCTTGAAGTTACCTGCGATAGTTAAACCCTATAACTAAACCAGTCAATATATCGTCAAATACAAGTGTATATATTTTTTGACAACTATTCTATAGTATACTTGCAGGATGATTCCTAGAAAATCTTCACATACTTTTAGGCTAATATGAAATTAATATCCCATAGATGTAAAACCTAAGTTTAATGATGTTAGAGTTGCATTGGTTGCGTTGGTATAATACAGAGAGCCAGGAACATCTAAGAGTATCTAACGATTTCTAACGCCATGCTGATCATCCAAAAGCAGGAAACCAGACCAAGCCAAAGAAGACCAAATTCAAAGGGTGTACTCCATAATTTAGTAAACGGATGAACGATCTTCGAATGTTTTAATTTTCTCGAGCTCATTCGAAATCGAGCTATAAATATATACTACTTATATATTCAAAGATGAAAATGTGTATTCCAAATACACAGTTTGCCTTTGAATGTCTGCAACTGGGCCAGAGAATATCCAATGCTTACAGAATAGACCTTTTCGAAGCCATAGAGAAGCACTTACTTTCTGAATAGAATCAAGTAATATTTCGATTCCAAAACTTCTATCCATCTTATGCAGTCCCTCACTCAACTTACTTCTTTCATTCCTTTCTGGCTTAAGCTCTAATTGTATTAACAAAAGCTGAAAAAAAGTTGTTAGATTCAGTAAGCCTCCCAATCCCCCCAAATAAAAGTGTTGAATTTGATTTAAACTAAAATTTTTTATTTTTAACTCAATGAAAAACTGAAAAGAAGAAAGAGTGACGTGTGATGTGAAATGGTAGTAAGTGTTAAGTATTCTGAGCCGAGCCTCTAATTGTATTTTCGAGTCATTTGAAACAAATTCAGAGTTTTTCGCGAGATTCGGCTCAGACGTATAACAGTTCAGTGCTTGTTACACAATCATTTTTTTTTTTGCCGCGCCTTCTTGGAGGCGCGTATAACGCTTCCATACAAAGTGCATTTTTCTTTATCGCTGTATTTCGTTTTAATTTTCGGTTATTTTACTTTATTATTTGGGTTGTTTTTCTTTATAATCGATTATCGAACTGCGTAAAACATTTATCCGAAATTATTATTATTATTATTTTTTTTTTTTGTATTCATTTCTTTTTCTTTTCGAGCTGAGCGTCAAGCTTATATACATATTCTTTCTTTTTTTTTAATTTTTTTTTATGCTTGGCAAACAGCTCTTAAATATTTTACGCAATTCAATATTTTTGCTCATTTTTTCATGTATTCTTTTTATATTTAAGGCACGGTTCGCTCTTTATTTCATTTTCTTTTCTTTGTTTTTTTTTATTTTTTATTTTCTCTTCTTTTTCTTTTTTCTATTTTTCGACCGAACGATTTGTGAGTGCAGGAAGTGAAAAGGAAGAAGAGGAAGACGAGGCAGATGAAGTTTGTGTATTCACAGCAGAGTGGAGAATGGGATGGTGTGGGACACAGTAGCTGAATATCGATAACAAGAACAAAAACTGTTGTGTGTGAGAGGCTTGTGAGAACTTAAAATTCGGCATTGAAAACATGATAATCACAAATGGGAAATAATTCTTAAAACAAATAAAATCTTCACTTGAATATGGCAACGCTTCTTGGCTTACAAATTGCCAAATTGCCATTAGATCTGGCAGCGCTTCTAGGCGAAAAGTATTTGGTAATCAATTCAACTGCAGTCGCCTCTTGGCGTTCTTATAGATCTTTTTAATTGCTTTTTGGTATTAATAAGGTTTGCTGATTAATTTCTGTAACTTTTTTCTGCTTTCGCATCTTTGATTAAGCTGGCAACGCCTCTTGGCATTGAGCAACTTTGACTCTAATTATACTTTGTTAAAGCACATTTGATGCTTCTCTTGCCCTAGATCTATTCTTAGTTTCGCATCTTTGATTGATATGGCAAGGCCTTCAAGGAATGTTTCGTTAATAATCCCATTAATAGACTCTTTTCTTGGTTCCAAAATGATCTGGCAACGCCTCTTGGCGTTATTGTTGACACTCTAAGTGCCCTCTTTATCTTCAGTTTTGCATGTCTTTAATGATCTTCCATGCCGAATAGCCCAGGAACGCAGACACGGGAACAGCTTAAAGCACAGCACAGGACACTCGACACCGAGACAAAGCAGTGAAGGATCCACAGCATCTAGCTGTGGGATTTGGAAAGAGACTTTGAGATCGCAACTGGAATCAATGGAGTCGAACATAGGAGGTCATGAATCGAATCAAACTAAAAGAAAACAAAAACTTAGGTTGCGCAGCTGTGGCTCCAAGTTTCGTTTCGACTCATCTGAAAGAACATCGGCATAGAAATAGGTTAGTAGCGCTCTCTTGCAGTCTACTTCGTGGCTGCTGAAGACGCTTCGCTGATCTGTTCGCAGGGATTTCAACGCGCTTTCCGCCTTCGGGACTTTGAGATGTTGATCTCCACATGTGATGTGTGCCACAATCAGGCGTTTTTTGCTTTAGTTGGTTTTCATATCGTTTAGCTGGGCAAACCAATCGCTCGGGACAGGCGTGTCACGAGCAATTGGCTTGCCGTCTTTTCTTCAACCTACTCAACTTTATTTTTGGCTCGTTCAATTTCAGTTTCGTTTGCGCCGCATTCGAAAATACCTGCGTAAACTTTAAAAACTTTCTAGGTTTTCTTCTTTTTTTTTTGTGCATTTTTTTTTTTTTTTTTTTTATTTCTTAATAATTTTCACTTTTTTTATATATATATTTTTTTTATATGTATATATTTTTGTTTTTCTTTTTCGTTTTTCATCTTTTTTTGTATTCTTATTTTTTCCTTTCTATATCTATTGCACTAATTGCGGCACACATCGCTCGTAGAACGTTTCGCATTTGGATATTTGTATTATTACTTGATGGGGTTTCTTTTTGCTTATAGCCCACACAAAGGCAGCGGTTCGAATCCCTTAACAAATCAGCGCAGCGCTTGGCAAACGGACGTGGGAAACTCACCTGGAGGCAGTTTTTTAAAGGCATTTTATATAGATTTATATAGAGTCTATAGGATCAGGCACTGACACTGCTGTAAGCAATATGCAAGTTAGAACAGTAAGAGGTGGGGTTCGTATATACAGAGGGAAGATGATCTATGTACAATGGGAACGGAAAGGGAGAACAGAACGGAGTTCGAGAACAAAAGGACAAACGTTGCGTATCTCAAAGCGGAGTGGGGAAACTCAAATTGTGTCCCTTTTATCGATTACTGATTGATGACTGTGCCTTGTGCCAGCGGCAGTGATGCATCATGATTGACGCTGCGACTTTAGCCATTCCAGTGAATGTGCCGTGATCTATTCTCGGGTTCGAAGTCTGTATTGAGTCTAAGCGGCATGGCTTTATTTGCAAATGTGTTACAGCATGATTGAGTCTAGGAAGTATTGGCTTTCTCTCTTACTCTTCTTTATTTGTGGTCTTTGGCTCTTTGCCTGCCGAGCGACACGGCCTGTGGAAATATACATCCAGTTGAGCAAGTCTACTTTCTCATTTTTATATTAATTCCATACCTGATTGGTTGATCGAGCTTTTCCCTTATGTTATTCATCGTGAGTGAAGTTGGGGTGCGCTTTTCTTTGATGTTTCTGTCGTCCTAGTCAACTACGAAACTGGCACGAGTTGGGCTCTACCAGCCTTTACTCGCCCTCTGCACTTTTCTTAGCAACGTGACTCCAACTGCCTATACCCCTTCTCTCTCGCACTCTCTCTCCCCCTCTCTCTTTCGTGCTGCTCCGCCTGGTGACTGCTATCCTACTCTTCTCTCTCCAGCTCCCCCTGCTCTGCCTCGTGACAGTCGAGCCCAGCGACACGGTCTTGGCTAAAGCGATAAAGAGCCGGAACTAGTTCCAGCCGGACATTGACGGATCAGCTTTCCCTGCAATATATATACTTGCCACACAGTATACTGATATATATGTATGTATGCCAACTGAATGCGGAGTTTGATGGAATGGAATGGACGAATACGATGACATTCTCTGGTTTTATAGTGGTTCGTAAGGTGATCGACTAGCGTAGTTAGTGGCAATCGAATGCCCTGTGTGTGATAGTTGCACAGTGGCAGTGCTTTATTGGCGTATAACACTTATTCGAGTGCTTCCAGGTTAGGCAAGCGACCTGCCTGAGCTCGAGGCGGCGAGCGCAGTCCAATCCAGTCTGTTGTGGGTGGGGCGGTGGTGCATGTGCGCCTGCGCGTGTGTGTGTGCGAGGGGTGGGCTGGCGGACAGGGGCTACTTGACCCACTGGTTATGACTGTTATACACATGCAATTCTCTTGGTTTATGTGGCTTCTGTCGCCGGCTGTTTATGCACTCGAATCGCTGTGCTCTGCCCTGGCGCTGCGCGGCTCGGCGCGGAGGCAGGCGCCGTCAACCATTTGCCGAGCGAGATGAACATACGTGTACTGTGTGTGTGCTTTAGTGTGAGAGAGAGAGAGAGCGCGTCTCCCTTGCCGAGCTGCTCGCTCGCATGCAGTAAGCTAGTCGCACGACATGCCGTCTCGCTCGCATCCATGTGATGCCACGCACACTCGCGATAGAAGTATGTGGGTACGCTTCGTCTCGTATCTCGTGTGTGCGGCATCAAACGGATGCCGTTCGTGTTCCACTGTCTCGCTCTGTTCCATATGTTCAGCTTGCGCCGCAAAGCTCACGCTCTCTCCCCCTCTCGTTGCTGCTTCGCCCATCACTCGCCCGCATGCCCAGGGCACAGCTTGATTGATCTAAGTAGAAATTACTCTGCAAACCCGCCGCCACGTCCACGCCTCTGCAGCAGCAGCAACAGCAATTGCGACGCACCGCGCCTCACCTGCCTCCGGGCAACGAGCAGCGCTCTCCTCCGGGAGCAGCTGCCGCCCGCCGGGGGCCACAGAACTGCATTGCCGTGCACCCACTCACCCGCTCGCTCGTGGCCTTCGCTTTTGTGGGCAACTCAGCTGCTTTGCTCCTTTATCGAGTTGATGTGCGATTCGTGTCTGATTTATGGACGTTCGATGGCTGGCTCTTTCTCTCTTTTCACATATCGATACTGTGTTTGGCACTAGGTACAGTTGATACTCGGAAAAACTAGCACTTGCAAAAAAAAGTGTAAAAAAAAGGAATCCTTGGACTAACTTCTCCTGACCGTGTCGCTCGCTCCAGAGCTAGCGCTCGACTGTGCCCGCTGCTGGCTCGGCCAGCGACGAGGCAGACTCGCTAGTTACTAGTCCAGGTAGTCAAGGAGTTCAGGTAGTCGCGGTCCGGTTCAGGTAGTCGAGCTCAGGGTCTCCGCTGGTCCTTAGTCCTGTAGGCCCAGTCCTAATGAGGGTTTGTTTTCTTCCACTACAGCTGTCTGGCTAATCGTCCCTCTGCCTGCCTGTCCGTTGTTCTATTATATTCCCTCCATATGTGCGTGGCTGCAGCTGCATTTCCTGTTTTCTCCTAGTTTTCTCAGAATACTTGCAGTCCTGGTCCGGTCCGGTTTCAGCTCCTTTCAACTTTTTCCACTCAGGTATAGACACAAACTGTTCAACTTTGCAATCAATGCTCGTTCGTCTCGTTCGTTTCGCTCGTCGCACTGCAACTGCTTCGACTTGCTGCTGGCAATGCCTCTTCGCTGCCCTTGGCGATGGCAATGCCTTTCCCATATTCACATTTTGCCAAAGTCATTGACTTCTCCACTCTTTCCTCGTGCAAATTTTATTCTCACTTTACAAATTTAACTGAATTCCGTTGCGTTGTTTGCCTCAGAGTCGTCTGCGAGTGCGAAAAGCGTTATACAATGGAGCTGCCACTTGTCACAGCACAGCTCCGGAAATGTTGGGCAACGCCTCGAGCTTCCACTGCACTCGGAAGATAACTGCGAAGAGCCTTCCCAATGCATCATTTCATTATTATTCACTTCTGATTGCCAATCGCTTCGTTTCTGCTTTAATATTTGAATTTTGCCAAGTAAATGATCTCGCGCGCATCGCGCACTAAACACAGCCCACGCAGCAGCCACTTGCAACTAGCTGGCAACGCCACGTGCACGAAGCGCCCAGCCCTGGTTTAACTGCCGTAAAAAGACGATGAGATTCAAAATAAATTAAATTCAAATTGTAATTGTAAAAAAAAAATTATCTATGTTATAAAATAAATAGCAATAAAAATAAAAATAAAAGCAAAGCAAAAAATATATTTAACATACAGAAATAAATTTGTATGTATTTTCAATAGAGAAATAATAAATTATATAAGGGAAATTTATTAAATTAATTCTTAAGATAACTTTTTAAAGCAGGAACAAAAGCGAAATAAAATACAATTGTTTCAAAATCGGACTTAAGGAATATACAAATATTTCGATCAAAAACAATCTATATATAACCATTTCAAATATTCTAAATATATAAGCCAGCAGATAACAAAGTGAGAGCATTGCAGTCGACTGTACCCATTCACGTTCCCAAATGCTTATTATATGGAGTCAATGGACTCGCTTTACGCCTGGTGAACGGGCATTTGCATTATAAATATTCGAGCTAAAGTTTGTTAAGTAATTAACTACAAAGGAATATATAAAAGCGAAAGCAAATAAATGAGAATTTGAAAAACAGGAATAATATACGGACATTCGCATATCAAGGTGTACAGACGAGACTCACATGGCTATGCAGACGACTCCATCGTGATCTGATGACACACAGATATACACATATATACGCAATACAGATGCCCAAATGTATGGGCTAGTCGACATCGCCCCGATAATCGTTCTGATTGGTGACCGGCACACCGTCATCCTCTTTGGGCGGCTGTTGCTCGATGGAGGGCTCGTTTGGCAGAGTGTCGTCGCTCTCCTGTTCAACCTTCCGGGAAGGCTCAGTATTCGAGTCCGAGTCTGGCTCCTCCACGTATGTGTAGTTGCGTGCGAGCAAGACGAAGAGCATCATATTGAACAGCATTAAGCTGGCGAAGAGCGCAAACTCAGCCGATTGGGTGCGGACGAGCTGCACCTCCGCTATGGCCACCACCAGCAGGTTGCCAATGGCCTCGGAGAGCAGCCAGCAGGCCTGCAGCACCGACTTCATGCTGCGCGGCGCCTGAGTAAACGAGAACTCCAGCCCCGTCACCGCGAACATTATCTCGCCGGCTGTCATGACCACGATCTGTGGCAGCTGCCAGAGTACCGAGAGCGTTGTGGGGGGCACCACCTCCAGCATGTTGTACTCCTGCAGAGGGGATGAAAGACACAATTACATAGTGATACAAGTTTACTGCACGAATAGAAGGAAGACAATGGATGGGGAGGGGGATAGATGACAGACAAGTAGGAAGCGGGAAGGAAGCCTTGGTTGGCCAGTCACTCTTGGGAGATTCATTTTATGGAGTTCTCAACTGAACTAGTTCCACGCTCGTTCACTTACATATCCGTCGCGTGCATTGCCCTGAACCAGGAGGCTGTAGAGTCCTCCCTTTTGGGCATCGAAGCTAGCGGCTCGCTTGCCATTGATGTCGAGCTCGCCATACCCGAGGGCGACTTCGTGCAGGGCCGAGAGGTTGCCGATGTCCAGCTGGATGCTGGCGAGGCTCGACGCGGGAGCCCTCAGCCGAATGGGACCCTCTTCCGAGGGTGTGTTGATCAAAGTGCGCAGCAGCAGAGGTCGATTGAGGCGCTGCACAGTGCTCAAGCCGTCGGAGAATTCCCGAAGACCGGCCTTGGTTAGGAAATAGCTGACTGAATGGCCTGGCTGAAGGTGCAGACGTCCCTCAATATTCGGGCAGCGTTTACTCGTAGACTTTGCCCTAAGGCCCACCTCCATAGCCCGAGGCACGCGGAGCTCCAAATTGGACCACATGGAAAGCGAATCGATGGAGGCGGCAACTGCCTCGTGCTCGCTGATGAAATCATAGCGACACGGCATCCCATTGTAGAGACGTAGGTGGACCATGTTTGGGAGCCTGGGCGCAGCCTTCGGCTCCAGCCGCTCGAGATGCAGCTCCACGGACGCCGACAGAAAGAAGCCAATGGCGGCGAACAGCAAGCCAATGCTGAGCTTCTGCAGCGGGCGCGTGATGCCGATGCGTGCGAGCAGCGGATAGACGACATAGTCGAACAGTGGAATAAAGACGAGGATGAGCAGCGGGTTGATCACCTGCATCTGGTCCGGCTTGATCTGATAGCCAAGCACGTCGCCATCCATATGGGTGGCCTGGAAGGTCCAGCGCGAGCCCTGCTGGTCGGACAGGGCCCAGAAAGCAGGAAAGGGTATATAGAGCAGCAGAACCTTGATCAGGCGTTTTGTGTCGTACACCATCTGATCTCCCACAGAGGGCGCTGCATAGTCGAGAAAGTGGGGCAAAGGACTCTTTTTGCGATTCATCCGCCAACCCTTGTACGCGCTCGATAGGCAGCTCGACACGCCGAAGAACATGTTGCCCGACGGTGAGCGCACCCTGTAGCGCAATCTGCCGGCCATAAAGATCCCCATCGAGATGATCATCAGCACAGCGGGCACCCCGAATGCCAGAGAGTAGCAGTCATCGTCCCCGAAGCATTGCACATCTGCGCGCAGGATGGGAGTGACCGCCGTGGAGATCATGGAGCCCGCATTGATCGCAAAGTAGAACAGCGAGAAGAACCTGGCCAGCTCTGCGCTCTGATCTGGCAGGCGGAACTGATCGCCGCCGAAGGCCGACACGCAGGGCTTGATGCCGCCAGTGCCCACAGCAATCATCAGAAGACCCACAATGGTGACAATCCTAGAAAAACTAGATAATTTTCAATTCGGGATCATGATCTACATGAGCATGAACAGTGAAATCTCGGTTAGCGAACAGCTTCATCAGCCCACACAGAAGTCGTCTGTAACTCTTCTGGATCAACTTTGTAGAATTAGTAGAATTAGAGCACCTGAATGCCCTTTGGAGTATATGGAGTATATGGAGTATACAATCCGAGCTATATAGGCTAATAAATTCTAATTAAAGATCATAGGATCACCCGCCCTAGCGAGAATTCACTGTGCATGCCTCATCCACATTCATATTAGTAGCTACATGTATAGATCAGTAGGTACTCACCTATCAGGCATCAACGGTAAAGGTATAGCCCCAATGGCGACAATCATCGCACCGACACTATATACGACCGACAGGTACAATATCGTCTTGTACTTGCCCAGCCAGCCGTCCGCAACAAGAGCTCCACCGATGGGGAAAACGTAGACGAGCATCGTGAATACGTGAAAGAGCACGGTCGCCGTCTCCTCGTTGTACCCCAGCTTATGGGTAAGATAGAGCACCAGTATAGCTAGGAGAGGAGAGGCGGAGCTACACATAGAGGGAAGGGACAGTCATTCTCCGAGGGGTCCCACTTACCACGCATGCCATAATAGTTGAAGCGCTCACAGAACTCATTGGTAACGATGAATGCCACAGCTTTTGGGTAATCCACTAGCTAGAAGAGAACAGATGCGTCGTTAACTGACAAAGTCAAGTGAAGGGACTTGGAGAGTGATTTGAGCAATAAATTATTGGATCCATCATTATCTCCAGTCTCATTATCTTCCACACTCGGCAAATCAAATGGGAAAAGTGCTGCATCATAGCTCGCTGACTGAACAAATTTCCATCAATTGCGATTGCCCACTAAACAGTTGTCTATATATAAATATCTATATGTATAGTGAGTGTGGGTATCTAGCTGATAGATAGGCCTTGTTTATGTCTGCCAAGTCTGTTAGTTTAAGGGCATTCAAGCGTAATCTCGTCTCATTATGAGTGCTACGAAAGATAATGTTCATATACGTCTATGCGTATACACATTATATTATATTGGTATATAAATAGCAATTGGAATTTCTTCATTCAATCTTGATAGCATACGAAATCGTAGAGGGAATCGCTTAGTCGAGCTCACTCGAATGAAAATGAAACCTTTAATACGATGCAAATACTCGCGGATTTATACTTATCGAACTCAATACAGGGTCGATTCAGATCAAGGGCAGCTAGTGGCTAGATCTGCAATGATTCGAGACCAGCTCCCACAGACTGTGAAGCAACGCAGACCTATTATTATGAATACAGGGTATCGCCTAGTTCGGCTAAAACGAAGAAAGAAAGTTAAAGTTTTCTAAGAGCATAAGTAGGTAAGACAAAAAGCCAACTGAACAGGGTGTCGCCTAGTCGAGCAATAGATTACTATAGGAAAACATACATACATACTTATATCTAGATAGATAGGTAATTATGTATTCTCACAATGGTAAGACTGACCTATTGCGCTATTACGATTGTTTGGGTGAGTCTATCTCCTTCTCTATCTGTCGCTGTCTCAGTCTCTGTCTGTCTGTATCTCTCCGTCTCTGTCTGACTTTAGTGTATTTCATTTTCGCTTTCAATTCGTTTCGCATGTTATTTTGGTTTCTATCAGCATTTGCTGTTAGTCAAGGTGAGCCGGCAAACGGGTTTGAGCCACCTGCCCCAAGTAGTGGGACGAGACGTGAATCAAATTTTAATTCTGCACTTGCAGTAGCTAAAATCACGCACAAAACCGTTAAAGAAAAAGTCAAGCACAGAAAACCATTGCTTGAGTTCTTTAAAGTTGGTTGGGCGAGGCTCTACACTACACCCTATATGAGCTGTAGGGTATATTTCCCTGGGTAAGTCACAGTTTTACAGGGTGCTTAGATCATGCAATATCTATATACATCTTCGCAATATCTATATACATCTGTACAGCTCTACACAAACAGAGAGAATTCTATTCTTGTTTGACACTGGCAAAGGCATAATGCAATTTGTATTTGTAGAGAGATGTGGACACATACATACACATACATACATCTACATATTCGTTTGAGTCAGTATTGGAATGATATCCAAGCGAGCTGCAACAGCTTATCGGAATTTCCCATCTCTATGGCGAGCTGCTTTTCACCATCACGCTCAGTCTCCTTCGCTCTCCTCCGCCGCCAGAAGTGTAAGGTGCGGCAATCGAGCGTAATCAATTAGACGAGGCGGTAACGATCAAATGACAATCACTTGTGCATAGACACAGTTACACAGTATTACGTATAGCTTTATCGCGGCGATCGGCCGGTCTATGGGGATGCCTGAAGGTCTCTCAGTCTCAGGTTTTGTAAGAGACGTTCGAGGCGTTCAGTTGTCGATTACGTGACGTCACATTCTCACGACGCTCAGACTAGTGGGTAATTATACCTGGCAATATGCAATGCAATATACTATACATAATATATATATGTCAGCTGTATTTTTAATTGTGGGATCGAAAGCAACTAATTGCAGACCCGTCCAGGCACTTCAATAATGAGATTTATTTATATACATACATTTAGTATATACATACATACATATATATATAAATCTGTACCTATAGAGTTGACTGGGTTGTTCAACTCGTTGGTTCATTGTCAGCTGTTGAAAAAAAGTAGGTCGACGGCATCGGAAGACGAGTATACCGCAAATTCATATCTACATACATGCCTACATATACATACATACATACATACATATGTATATTGTTTTGATTCTATATCGATTTCATTTCGATTTCGCTTTCGCGTGATTAATTTAATCAATTTGCGAGCAATAAAAGGATGATTGGCACACTCTCTAAACATATATGTATGTATACGTATATGAGCAGCCAAGGTCAGCTCTTTTTAGTAGAGAATTGGGTCAATATAGGAGATCCTCTAAATAGGCGCTATTCTTGACCAACGTCAATAAAAGAGTGAGAGAGAAAGAGATTTATATAAATTGCAGATCATTTGGTTAAGTTAGGTGGATCTCCACTGTAAACAATAAAATCGATTTCTATATTTATTTATCACATGATACAGCCTGCTATATGAGTCTTTCTCCATCTCGATCCAACTCTTATCTAAATTGTACTATCAATATTATGTAGCCACGCAATTTTGTGTTATTTTCCCGAAATCTGTTTCTTGACTATGCTCTTAAAATACATGCATACATTTATCTTATCAGAAAGATACCTCCAGAACGAACAAAAAGGAAAGAAGAAAACATAAACATATTGCATATTCATTCGCATACATAGAGAGAAGAATTAAAGATAACTGTTCTTACTTTGGCTATGCGTGTTACAATGCACTAACTGTAACACGGCACAGCTGTACGACAGCTAAATGCCCATACATACATACACACATAGGCATATATATGTACATGTATGTATGTGCATGTGTGCATACGGCCAAAAGTTGTGCACAATTTCTGCTTGCCAACTTGTAAATGTACATATATGTAGGTATACATACATACATATGTAAGTATGTCTGTATGGGTACATATGTATGCTTTACAAGATGCTGCACTCATGCGTGCGTGTGTGCGTGTGCTTACATATGTATGTATGTATGTATATGTACATTTGTACTTTCTCAATTGCCAGCTGAAAGTGACAATAAACTGACGCAGGCGTCGCAGTCGACGCAGTCAGTTGATGCTGTCTTTGCAGACTTCTTTGACTGATTTCTTTTCATTTCAAGTTTAGGGCTCGCTGACCATAACTTGCACATGCGTGTGTGTGTGTGTGCGTGTTTGGCAATTAGCCAGGTAGTTTTTATACCCTGAACCCATTTTCAATGGGAAATCAGGGTATAATGGTTTTGTTGAAATGTATGTAACAGGGAGAAGGAGGCGTGGCAGACCCCACAAAGTATATATATTCTTGATCAGGGTGACGAGCTGAGTTGATTTGGCCCTGTCCGTCTGTCTGTCCGTCTGTCCGTCTGTCCGTATGTATGAACGCGTCGATTTCAGAAGATATAAGAGCTAGAGACTTCAAATTTTTTTTAAAATGTCCGTAATTACAGCGCGCATATCAAGTTTATCATTAAAAATCGATAACTCATCTCGATCTTTTTTTATCGATAAAAACCCTTATCGAAACCCAGTTATAAAATTATATCTTCTACACCTTTATTGCTAGAGTCTCCAAATTTTTAATGTATGCTTATATGCAATTTATACAATTTCGGTTTTTGTTAAAATTTACCCCCCACCTCTAAATTCACCCCCTCACCCTCACTTTTGTAAAAAGCGTATTTCAAATACTAGAGACTTGTGCTTTGGCAATTACATGCATATTCATGTTATAATCATAATCTAAAAGTTTCATGAAGATCGTACGTCCATAAAAAAAGTTATTAAACAATTAAGTTCTCATAGTAAGCGCACACTGCAGCCCATGCGTGTTTATGCGTGGTTGCTTGTATGTGTATGTGTGTGTGTGTATGCGTTTGTGTCTGTATGCGTGTGTGTGTGTATGTATACCTGTGTGTGCGTACGTGCGTGTGTGTGTGTGTGTGTGCGTGTTTCTTGTGTAAGCTGAAAGTCGCGAAAAAGTATTGAAATATCTATTGCTCCAAGGGTTCAGGGGATCTCGTAGTCGAGCAGTCTCGACTAGAGCTTTCTTACTTGTTTTTACTTACATACATATACAATGTATGTATGTACATATGTATGTATGTATGTTTGTGCAATCGAGCTCCATAATTGTCCAGCAAATCGGTTAACGCAACGGTACATTAGGCTTACCTCTTGCTCTTTCCCTGCCGCTTACTGCTTCTCACTAATTGCCAACTCCTTTGATTTGCTATTGGCAGCAGCCCCTGTTGCTTCAACGTCTTCTGCTTTCATTATTTGTTGTTGTTATTATTATTTTTGGTGCGGTAGTAAACTACAAAAACACATACACACACACACATACTCACAAAACGAACAAAACGAACAAAAGGCTCAGCTCAAGTTCAATTTACGGCTTGGAATTTAATCAACTACCGAAAAACGCACGCGCGAACTTGCAATATTTTTTAGCAGGTGCTGCCAGCGGCTGCAGCGCAGTCACGTTTGCGCACAAAACGAACAGCGAAGAGGCAGAAGCAGAGACAGACGCAAAAAGACGCATACGCAGACGCAGGCGGCGACGGCGACGTCACTGCGAGGGCGAATATACATACTTAAATGAAGCGCAAGTCAAGTGTAAGCTGCGCTTCTAAGCGATAATTCGGCAGACATCCTAAGCCAAAGAAAAATAATAATAATAAAGTAAATAATAAGTAACAAGAAATAAACAGCTACATATGTAGAAAAAGCGTGAAATGAGAATTGAAAATAAACAGCGAGCAGATTGGTTTAGTTGAGGGGGTGGGGGCAATAGGCACGAGAACTACACGCATACATTTGTACGTATGTATGTATGTACGTTGCAGTGCCATTTAACTAACACTTCGCTCTCACGCTCGCTCTCGCTCTCTCACTCTCGCGCTCTTTTGTTAGTTTAGCTGCCTGCTTAGTGCAGCACAGCGCAGCGCAGTCGTCGTCGCCGTCAACGTCCGCGCATTGGCGGCGTCTACCTCATTCCTCTCAAGTTCAATGCTTGAACTGTTAAATATGAATTTACATATGCTTGCACGGCCACAGCTTTAGCGTCGCAATCTCAGCTGAGCGACAAATGCGAAGCGCATTTGGTGCTTCGCGTAAGCCCAGCCAGCAAACGACGATAAGAGAAGGAACACTTATCGCCAACTCAGCTTTGACGACTTTTGAATACCCTTTTTGACAGATATCGTTTATATACAGATACCGCTAATATATAAGTAAATAATTAAATAGATAAAAAAAAAGTAAGAAAGCTCTAGTCAAGACTGTTCGACTAGAAAATCCCCTGAACTCTTCGAAGAATTTCACAACAATTCTTCGCGTCTTTCTGCTTACCCAAGAAACACATACATAGAAAAACATAGGGACGCAAGCATAAACACGAATTGACTGCACTATGGAAACTTAAGGTGTGGAGATAAATTACAACAAAATCGAAATTCTATAAAATACCTCTAAAGGTGTAGAATATATGTATAATTAAATCACTTTCATGAATGAGTATAAAAATCCGTTTTCGATAAGGGGTTAAATAGATTTTTGGAGAAAAACTCGATAAACGTGTGATATACACGTACTTAGGAAGACAAATTTCAAGCTATTATATCTTCTGAAATCGACGCGCCCATACAAACGGACGGACAGACAAACGGACAGGGCTAAATCGACTCAGCTCGTCACCCTGATCAGGAATATATATACTTTGTGGGGTCTGCCACGCCTCCTTCTGCCTGTTACATACTTTTAACAAAACCATTATACCCGATTTCCCATTGAGTCTGCGTATAAAAATTAGGCTAGTTTATATTTAGTTCTTACCTCATTATCAGATTCATTCCCCGTGTTCTCCAGACTGTCTGACTCGTCATTCTTATCCGTATCATTGAATTCCGCATCTTGGAAGCGGGTGCGAGCGCTGTTAATGCCAGCATTGTCATCCCCGGAAAAAGTACGTAATGAACCTGGGGGGAGAGAGTGACAGAGAGGCAAAGAGACAGAGACAGAGAGAAAGAGCGACAGAGAGAGAGAGAGAGAGAGAGAGATAAAGATAGAGAGAGATGGAGAGTGATGGAATGAGCAAGGGAATAGGGCGACATTAATTGAGAGATTAAAATATGTTCACATACCCACTTCGCTATCCGACTGAAGGTAACTGCCAGCGTAGTCGCTCGTCGGTGAGCTCAAATTCAAATCCAGATCCTCACCAGGCTTCCGAAACATTTAAAAGCGTGGACGCCAAATATATGAAATTGTTGATAGGAGACTCGAAGCTATGCAATTTTCCTTGACACATGAATGGGCGGCATTCATGCACCAAGTACATATGTGTGCAGTTGGATCGGCTGGAAAGCCGATTCCTCTCCAATCTAGTCAGAGGGCGACTTAGAGAAAATTCCCATTTTTGTTTTACTTCCGGCTAACTGAGCACATTTGTATGTGGAAAGCCTGACAGCCGACTCGGGACCTACTCCGACTACATTTGCGCAAATCCTTTGTAAGGGCTCCCGTTCGAGCTTTCGAGCTAGACGTAGCCATAGGCACATGTGCGGAGCCCAAAATAATAACCCTTGGCTGTGTAATCGAACTTGGGGGAACTCCCATTACAGGTAATTTATGAGTTTCGGACCTGTTTACCTTTCAGCTAATCTAAAAAAAACATTTGGTTTATGGCAAAGTTTTTTAGCTTGTCAGGGAAGTGTACAGCTTTCAAGTGCATGATCTATAAAGTCAGCAACTACACTTGGGATATTATTTGTAATATATCATCATATATGAATATATATGTAAGTATGTATATGTATTTAAGTCATAGGTCTAATCAGAGATTAGCTTTGTTTCTGTTTCACAACAAAGAAATATATTTATATTTTCTATTGCTAGCTTGAAATTCTCAAGACATTGCCTAACGATTCTATATATATATATATAAATATATTATCGGGAATTTGTGGTTGTAAAACTTGCTTATAACATCATACAAATTTCTGACTCAATCCATTCATAATGCGACGTTAATATGTATATGTAGATACCTATATGAGTTCCTGGAGTTAATAAATCGTCTAACCAATAACAACCCATAATTCAGTCATACAGCCATTTTTACGATATATGTACATATATATACATATGTATAGATCGGAGTGCGTATGAAGTATTATATAGTTAATCGTAAATATGTCCCTGGTACAGTTATCCGCTTATCACCTATCACTTATCAATTATCAGCCATCAGCTATAAAGTCTAATCTATCGCTTATCGATTATCGCTTATCGCTTATCGGCGGAACGATTAAGCATATAAAACAATGTCGCTCTCAATTGCGCCAAGTCAGCTCTATCCATAGATTAGAGCATTGGAATAAACTTTTGCTTGGGAACAACCGTGGACGCCCATCTTAGAGCTGCGATTATAGAAAAGCAATTATAACTATTGAGCTGAATAGTATCAGTAATATCAGGAGTGATAAGATATTTTACACTTATTTCAAAAAGCGAATCAAGATTGATAGGGTTATTTAGTATTAATCGATAAGGAGAAATTACCAAGTGAATTCCAATTAAATAGAGGTCAATATATTGATTCAACTCGGAACTAATCTAACTCGCTCACACTACCAAAACAACTGAAATAATTTATATTTATTATCGACCTGTTTGAAATTTCAGTGGGTCAAGCTAATCCACCTGCAATGCTTTTGTTTTTCTAAAGCTAAACTTGTTGAAATTGACAGTTTGTAGTCCCAAAGCGATAACCTCTAGGAGAGGAGAAAGATTAGACGAGTTTTGCATGAAGTAAATATACTCTTATTGCACTTTGTGATCGAGTATTGCATTGCAGAGCGCTGACTAGGCGGATAACTATGTACATATAGTATACTAACTACTGAGATATATGTTTGTATACAGGCAGGTAGCTAGTCAGAGGTATGCAGCCAGGTGGTAATTGAAAAGTATCTTGTAGATACGCCTAAACTCTCGACACGTTACCTAACCAGACGCTGTGCAGATAAGAAATGAATTGGCAGAAATAAACAGAAGAAAGCAAACCGCTTAATTAATGTTTGTCAGATAAGGCGCTGATATCGAATGCTTCGCTCTGTTGAAGTATTAACATACAGATGTATATATGGTCCATATATACAGCTATACTTTATGTAGATCGCTCGGATCAGTCACTCAATAAGGCGAAGGACGTGCGCACGCGTTCTCTGCTCGTAAATACTTCAGCTGCACCGATAAACCAATAAGACGATAAGCTGATAGCCTGATAAGCCGTTATGCGCTTAGTTAACGGTTTACTATATCGGCGTCGATGGCGACACCGACAGTGACAGCGACAGCGACAGCGACTGCGAGCTGTGTGATTGCCAATGAATGACTTTGACTTCGCCTTCGACTCCGCTTACGCAGGACACACGAACGATCGCAGTCGGCGTGAAGCTCAGTGGCGGAACGCAACTGCAGTGAAATCCAATTGGAGGTCATTCGTTACCGTTGGCTTTGACAGCTGAGGAATCGTGTGCAGTTGCAGTCGACGCATACGCAAGGAATTCATGCAGTCGCAGTCGCTGCCACCGTCATCGCTCGGCATCGAAGTTGCAAACGAAATCGAAGGGCACGTGCGCAGTCGCTGTCGCACTCGCATTCGCACTCTCGCTCGCGTTCGCAGTCTCAGTCGCTGTCACCGTCGCAGTCGCTGCCGTGACGCTGCTTCAAGTCTGAGTCGAATGCGAATTAGTTTGACGACGCTGATGCCGGTGCCGCTGTCGCTGCCGCTACTGGCAGCGACGCCGACGGATTCTTGAGTTGACTTACGCGCTTCGAATATCATTCAGTCAGTCAGTCGAATGCCGTTGGCGGACTTGGACGCGTGTCGACCAAGCGCGTTCCCATCGTTTTTTTGTTTCCACTGCACGTTCTCACTGTTTAACTGAAATTTTACTGTTGTCGTTTCTCTGTTAAATGTTTATGACGTGAGTGCTAGCTATTACGACTATAATCACGAATCGTGCAACACAGATATATTCATTGACTTTTTGTTTACATCTTGAATCCAATATAATTATTTTTCTTATTTATTTTATTTATTTATTTATTTATTTTTTTTTTTTTTTTGTATTTTTATCACTTTCTGTGTGTTTTTATTTGTGCCTCTGAACTTTACGTGTGAATTAAAATAATAATAAAATTCAGAAAATATTGAAAGCTTATCTCGATTTTTTATATTTAAATTTTTAAGTGTTGTTTTGTTTTGTTTTTTGTGTTTTTTTCTTGTAACTTTATGAAATCGTTTCTGATTTCTCTTCTCTCTTTTCGATTCCAAGTGTCGCGTAACGGATATAAAGTGATATCAACCCAACAGCGAGATGACGGAAAATGAAAATGGTAATTCTTTACTTATACTTTTTCTATTGTACATATATATATATATACATACATAACGGATAAGAAGAGAAAATAATCCAAGGGTCCTATCAAAGGGTTCCCCTAAGTAGCGTAAACAAACTATATACTGGTGATTGCTGTAGGGCCTATCCGACGAGTAAATACAAGAATAATACATTTTGAGAAACAGAAATATGTGTGTAACTCGTCACTATTAGCGGGAGTGTTATGGGGCAGGGGTTTGCATTCACTCGGAGCAAAAAAAAAAAAAAAAAATCCGAACTGCAAGAAATTAATGTAAACATTGAGATTTTTAAAAATTTATAAACATACTAGATAAATCAAATAAAAATGCTTTAAATAGTGTACAGGTAACCTCTGCTTCATCGTTGGCTCTATCCGCATTGTTGTCAACTAAGACTTTTGGAGTATTACTCCAATAAATAACCCTTACACATGTCCACAGATAGCTCTTATCTCGCATAATTGGCGGTTAGGCATTAGTTCTTCACCTCTTCAATTCTTCCAAGAATACCCGATAGAGGCGCGTGTACTAAATCTTAGTTGAGCCAATCTTATCGGGTCGATAAGCTTCTAAGTGTTCGCTCGTCACGGCAATCTGTAGCGCGGCTTCACTGTACTCATTGAGCGAATGCCATTATTTGTGAGTATATATATCTAGATAAATATATAAATAAATATATATATATCAATCAATCAATCAATCAATCACGATTGACATTAAATTCACTTGTATTCTATTCTATTCTTGAGTTTGTAGCATTTGTTTACATGATTGATGCTGATTGATGCTGATCTTGTCAATCATGATTGATGTTCTGCTTTTCAAGTATACACGAACCATCAATCGTACTCCCTTTTCTGTAATGGCCATAAACAGTCAATCAATCAAGCTTCAAGCATGCTTGAAGCTGCATTCAACTTCAATGTATGGCTAATGCTAAGGCGCATTTGCATTTCCTAGTATGAGTAACGTATGGAAATTTGTTCATATAGAGCGTTTCATATATACATAGTATACTTCAGATAGACTGCGACTAGATTTAATTGGTTACATGACTAATTGGCGGCAGCCCAAGTTGACTGACTGACTGACTATGCATCTGGATGCTGTTCGAGTCGGGGGTATTGTTGTGGCGCACTACCTGTTGGTCGGTAATTGCGGTTTTTGGCACCAATAATAAAAGAGAAGAAGGAGAGAAGATTGAAAAAGAGAAAGGAAAATGTAAGACCGAATTGAATAATAAGAAGAAGGAGGCAGAGAAAAAAAGAAAGAGTTAAGAGCAGATGGATACGAGTAAAAAGCGAAGAAGAAATCAAGAGAAAAAGTCGAAGTAAATAAAAGGAAAAGACGATAAGATGAAAAAATACCAAAAGACAAGAAGATGAAGATGAAGAGAAGAAATAAAGGTATATCAAGAGAGAGAGAAGAATATAAAATAGCAGAATAGAAATAGAAAATATTTAAAGCAGAAGAGCAACAGAATAAGAGACAAGATGACATTAACAGATAAGAAGATATGAGAGAGACAAGAAGAAGAAAAGGAAACAAAGAAGAGTGAAGAGACTTGCAACGAAATCAAGGCACACAAGAAACTAGAGAAACGCGCCCATGGAGTGAGTTTGACTCGTGGGAAAATACGCGCCGCTACGAAGATATAATGGAGCCAAGCAATAGTGCTATCGTAGGACCAATAAAATGTGGGCCATATTGAACAAAGGCTTATCAATGAGAAGTGAGCTTAATCGCTTGTAAATCAGTTTGGCGCTGTTCACAAAACAAACGCTATTCTGTAGCTGATAGTGCGAAGGTAGCTATAAAGATGATAAGCCGAATCGAATCTATATGGAGCTGTTCCCACAATTTACGACTCGCGACTCGAGACCCGCGACCAGTGACTCGCGACTTTATCAAGTGGTAATCACATGGCGTTCCTTGTTACACATGTACATCCGAATCGTATTACCTGGCACTCCTACACGTTCGCCCATTTCCCCTTATTTCACTACCAAGAAATGCTCATGACTAAGCTCAATAGATTTTCCAATTAAATTCAAGGAGCAAGTATAGGGAACACTCTCACAGG